AGACCCATTGCCAGGCAGAGCTCACCAGGACAGCGAGCAGAAAGGAAGCCCACGGACAGCAAAGGCCTCGCAGGCTCCCTCTGGCACCCCCTATTGGCAGATCCTAACAGAACCAGTTGGCAAAGCCAACTCCACACCACAAAACAGAATATGTAAGTGAGGGTTTGGCGCTAAGACACAACTTAACTGTCACACCCAACACCTGGGAACCCCATCTACCCCACATCACATCTTTCCTGAGCTGACTGAGCCAACCCATTGTCTTGGCATTTGCCCCCACATCACCCCCCGCGTTTCAATCAAGGCCTCACTGGCACAGCCCTTAAAACAGTCATCTTGGTGTTGGATTTCTGAAGACTTATACAATAAAAATAACTTTGTATCTTCCATTCCTGCCATCATTCCTGGTATACAGCAGGTAACCCTTAAGTGTTTCTTGAATAAGACAGAACTTATATTCAAATATATGCTAATTAAATCAAAATACTTTTTGTATCAGTTATTTTTAAAATAATACTATGCCAACGCTGTTTGAGTGTAGCACTCAAATTAAGTCAACCCTTGCCCTGGATGGGTGGTTCAGTTGGTTGGAGCGTCATCTTGTACACCAAAAGGTTGTGGGTTCAATTCCTGGTCAGGGCACATACCTCAGTTGCAGGTTCCATCCCCAGTCGGGCCCATATGAGAGGCAATGGATCAATGTTTCTCCTACATCAATGTCTCTCTCCCTCTCTCTCAAAATCAATAAAAACATACTCTTGGGTGAGGATTAAAAAATAAAACCAAATTAGGCCAACCCTTTGGAAAACAATTCATGGAAAAACATATTCATGAAGATGTTCATCATGCATTCTTTATAGAGCGAGAGGAAGCAGCCCACATAGCTGACAACAGGGGCATAGTTGAAATAGTGCCAGTAAGTTATGAAATATTCTGTTCTTGGCTTTAGAGTCAGAAAATCACTGACAGCATTTCAAAATCCCTGAGCATACCTTGATTTCTACATGCCATTCTCCACCACGAGAAACTAAGTTTCCTTAGAGAAATGGTTAATTCCAGGGCTGGGACAGAGAAATCCCACGATGAGCCAGGAGCATCTTGTTCCAGAAAGTTAGGAAGTGCTTAAAGAGTGGAGAGAGTGTATCAAACACAGAAGCTAGCTTGAAAGGACTCCCAGGGCCAATCCGCCTGCATTTAAAATCAGAGTTATGGAGACAGTGCTGTATTGTGGGAGACTGGTTATACTTATCTTCAGGGAGGTCAGATAGTGAACCAGACTTGGGAGTCAGAGATACTTGGGTTCCCGCACTAGCTCTACCGCTTACTAGAAGAGCCATTTTGGATAGCTCCCCTGAGCTTTCATTTCTTTAGTTCTAATGTCAGGAAAATACCTACTTTGCAATATTATGTTAAGGTTTAAATGAGAAAGAGAAAACAACCTATGCAGAGCTGGGCACATACGAGGTATTTCATAAGCAGTGAATGTGTTTATTGTTTCCTCAAGCAAATGGGCAGGTTGGAAAGGTGTAGCAACATTACAGCTCTAATTATATTTCAAAGGAAACAGATGCACTGGGAGAGGGGACTAAAAGGAGATGCACTAAAACACTAAACAAAGGCTGTATTCAAATTATGGATAACTTTTCCCTTCCTGTGTTTTCAAATATAATTCACATAGTCTGGTATTTCAATAATAGCAAAGCATATATCATTTTTTAAGGGCAAGTTTTGAGCAAAACCTTCCAAAGATCAGAAAATTATTTATTGGTCGTTAAAATGTCCAAAATGTTACCTGCCTACCTGCCTGCCTTCCTCCCTACATAATTCAGTCCCAAATATATTATAGGGCCAAGGAAAGTAGGCACCCAAGTCCGGGCACAGTGTGCAGTGGGGTGACTTGTCCATCACAGAAGAGGACATCTGAGCTGGGGCAGTGGCTACAGGGGAGATTGGTTTTACACACAGAAATGATGGAAGGGGAACTAGAATGAACTGTGTGGTATGGAATTGGTATTGAAGGTAAGTGTGAACTCACGGTCTTCAAGATAGGCAGACAGAGAGATAAAATACACATGTTTAAATTATGTGTGTATAGATTACACATATACATATACACATATATGTATATCCCCTCTTTCCACATCCATATAGATTAAATGTCTTAGATTCTAGAAAATTTCATGTTTACTCAATAAATATATTATATATTTCCACTAAAATCTCATTTTCTTCATGTTGTCCTCCACCTGAACAGGTTTTAGAATCACTGGTCTAGAATCTTAAAGCTTAAAGGCAACATTCTGTTCCTGGCTTACCAGTCAGAAAAATCACTGACATTTCGAAAGCTATGAACATACCTAGTGCTGAGATCTTGGTTTCTAAATACCATTCTCCACTAAAAGGAACTAAGTTGCCTTGGAGAAATGACTAATTCCATGGCAGGGGCAGAGAAATCACAAGATGAGTGAGTCATGACCCTCTTGTTCAGAAAAGTCAGGAAGTCTTAAAGAATGGAGGGAATGTATCAAATACAGAAGCCAGCTTGAAGGGACTCCCACGGGCCAAAGTTGGGACAATCTGAGCATCAAAATAAATCCTATATAATAAAAGCCTAATATGCAAATTGTCTCTCTCTCTTCCTTCCCCTCTTCCTCCCTTCCTCCCTCTCCATCTTTCTCCCCCTTCCTTTCTCTGGTTCTTTTCTATGCCTTTGAAGAAATGCACAGTGATTTGCAGTTAGTTGAGTGTGATGTTTAATAATAGAGGTGTGTCCCAAAGGAGATATATTTTAAGCAAGAAAAAAGATATTAAAAACTTATACAGGATTGTGAACTCTGGCTAATAATGCTGCTTGTGACATTCATATTTCCAAAAAAATTGACACATATAAAGAATTTTGTATATTTATTATTGTGTTCTGGAAAGAGAATATTAGGACAATTTGCAGTCATTCGACCATGAGTTCAAACAGGAGACCAGGAGTTCAACTGCTCACTATGACATGCACTGCACTGACCACCAGGGGGCAGCACAGAACATGGCGGGCAACAGCAACTGCAGTGCTGGCAGCAGGAGGTGTTGCCAGCCCCCGATGGGCCCTGATGACAGCGGGACTGCAGCAAGATGGTGGAGCAGGTAAGCGGGTGGCGCCAGGCCAAGGCGGGTGTGAGCGGGGGCCTGATCGCCCCGCCAACTGCCCCACAGATGGTAACCAGCAGCAGCGGTGGGGGCCTGGCCCCGATCAATCGCCCCACAGGCAGGATAGTGGAGTAGGTGAGGGGGTGGTGCCAGGCCAAGGCAGGGCTGCAGGGCTGGGAGGCTGGGGGCACAAGCTGGAGCTGCGAGTCTGGGGGTGTAAGCTGGGGCCCAACCCATGCAGGCCACCCTGAGGAACCCAACCTGTGCACGAATTCATGCACTGGGCCTCTAGTAATGAATAAAATAGGAGGAATCTCTGAGTCTATATAATCCTATATAATAAAGAGCTAATATGCAAATGGTTGTCATGCCCTTGTGCCCTTGCGCTCTCATGCCCTCGTGCCCTCGTGCCGGGGCCGGGGCACATGAGGCTGGGCCAGGGGACCTGAGGCTGCACCCCTGCCCTGCAGGGCTTGATGGGGGTGGGGCTGGCTGGGTCTGAGTCTCGCACGATTTTGAGGTGCATGCAGGTGGGCGGAGACTTGACTCTGGGTCCCACGGCGCATCCCAGACTCTGACAGGAGGGAGATTTTCATATACATTTCATATACGTTTTACTAATTTTCTTTCATCTCTGACACTCTATTATAAAGAAAGGGCAAATAGCAATATTAAAATATTTCCTCTAATTAATTCCCTTTTAATGTGCACAAATTTCGTGCACTGGGCCACTAGTATAATATGAATAAATAAATCTATCTATATAAAAGCCTAAGCAACTAACGACCAGTCGCTATGACACACACTGGCCACTAGGGGGCAAACATTCAATGCAGGAACTGCCCCCTGGTGGTCAGTGCGTTCCCACAGCCAACCTCCTGCAGCTGGCCAACCTCCCCCAGTCCCTCCCCCCGGCCAGCAGGCCCCAATTGGCCTTGATCCAGACTGGGCAAGACGGCTCAAATGGGCCTCAATCACTGGCCAGGCTGAGGGACCCCACCCATGCACAATTTCATGTACCAGGCCTCTAGTGAATAAATAAATGTGAAGATGATAAAGGGGGGGGGGTCCCCATACAGAAGATACCAAGTAATAAATGTAGAGGTAATAATGTCTTTGGCAACCATAGCAATAATTAAGCCAAGATACATCAGCGAGGATAGAACTAGTGGAGAAAATTTGATGGGGATCCAGATATTTCCATGGTCTCAAAGTATCTCTCCACAAAACGCATTTTCATTACAAAGAGGAAAAAAGTAACTCACAGGGGAGAAACCTGGCAGACATCATCTCAAGTCACCAAAGTTAACATCACCAGTGATGGAAGAAATTGAACTTGTGCCCTGCCTGACAGGATACACTAGGAAGAGCACAGCACCACTTCCGTGGTCTTCCTGCCAGAAATGTATAATCTGAATCTAATCATGAGGAAACATCAGATAAACTCAAAGTGAGGGGCATACTGTAAGACAACTGGCTTATCGTCCTCAAAAGTGTCCAGGTCACAAAACTCAAGTCTGAGGAGACTAAGAAGGCACGACCACCAAAGGCGATAGATAGCACAGGATTCTGAACTGATGCTTTGGCTGTGAAGGGCATTATTGAGACAACCGGCAAAACTTGAATGGGGTCTGAGGGTTAGATGGCAGTCACATGTCAATGTTAATCTCCTGATTTTGATGACTGTAATGTGATTGAGAGAGAGTGTGTCCTTGTTTGTAGGGAATACACATTAAAGTATGGGTGTGGGGGGCATCAAATGGTTCCCCAAAAAGTTCTTTGTACTCTTTTTGCCACTTTTCCATAAGTTAAAAACAATTCAAGAGAAAATAAAGCCCAAGAGGTTTATTTCAGCTGTGGCCAAAGCTCTGACTCTTTATCTCACTGAACACAAAGGCTGCTGCCAGTTCGGTCAGCCAAACCTGTTCGTCCTGACAGTCAGGGACAGACTGCCAGGTGTGGGCTGGGCAAACAGCTCTGTCCAGGGGATCAGAGGCCAGGCCGGAGGGCTGGAGTGCAGGCTGGGGGCCACGGCTTCCACCTCAGCACTGAGCACTTAGGAGGAGTTGAAAGCTTGCGGCCCCTGGGGCCTGGGGCAGGAGGAAAAGCAACCCAGGACTCTTCCCACACCCCGGGAGCCCCAAGAGAACCAGGAGAGGGCTGCCCTGGAAGCCAGGGTCCCAGGGGCGGGTCCCTGAGGGCTTATGAGGTTTGGTTTCCTTCCCTCCCAGCCAAGCTGCTGCTTCATTTTCTGCATATTTTAACAGGTTTCATGTTTTCCTGAGAGAGTTCTGCAAATTTCAAGCCTGGAAAGGAATCAATGTTTGTTGACACCTATGTCCTCTGCGCAGCTGTGAGCTGCTACAAGGCAAGAGCCGTGCGGCGAACCTCGTGTCACTGTCTCACCCACTCCTCCCAGTGCCTAATAAGGGCTGGTCGCAGCAGGTGACTTCTGTGTGTGTCTGACTTTTCTGCATGTCTGGGCAGCAAAGATAAGCCCCCATCACCCCAACCATTTCCCTCCACTTTCCTACCTGCAAAGGCCCACTGAGGCACCTCATCCTAAATCACGTCGCCCATATGAATATCCACAATGGTGTGTTTAGTTATCTGTCCTAAGAAGCCAATAAGTTCCTGGCTTCCGAGAAGACAAGGCTCCTAGAAATAAGAAGTCGGGCTTTGGAGATACGTGTGCTGTGGCTAAAATTTTGACCATTGCAAGGCACAGAGACCCTCATCCCCACTTTGGCCCACCCCAGGCGTGAGTGCTGTCCATTGTGCTGAACAGTCACAATTTACCGCAATGGGAAAGGACAGACCCCTGCCCAGAGTCAGGATGTGGGGAGAGTTCAGAGTAGGCATTTCCATGTCTCAGATGTTCACCAAAGCCTGGAATAGCTCATCTGAATCCTCACTGGAGACCGCTGGGATCTAGACGAATGAGTGGTTCTCAGGAACCAGACAGGTACCTGGGCCTGGCAAGCTGGCTTCAGGAGCTCTAACGAAGAAGAAGGAGTCCCCAAGTTGGGCCAAGGCCCAGGGCTAGAGGTCCTGCCCCAGCAGCAGCAGCAGCAGCAGCAAGGCCTTCTAGGTCATCCCTGGGCCCTTTCAGGCTATTCTATCTGAAAAGCATCTAGATATCACAGAGCCTGTGTCAACAACGCTGCACCCCACAGGCCTGGGGGTGCTCAGTTCCGCATCAGAGGCTCCCCTTCCAACCTCCTGAGATCCAGCTACTGGAACAGGGTAGCGTGATACAGTGGCAACCAGGCATATGTCTGCTCTTACCTGGGTCCAGCATCTGACCCCAGTGTGAACACCCCCCGTCCTGACCTGGGTCTGACTCATGCTTCTAGAATGGACCCTGAGGATCCCTGCTGTCCTGCAGTAGCTGACTCACAGCTGGTCCAGGGGTAGCTGCAGAAAGGGCTCCAAGCATCCCTTAGGGAGGAGTTATCTGTGGTTCCGAGAACTCAGCACGTGTATCAGGCACGCCGCCACATTTCCTTGGTATCATGACCCTGTGTGGGATTTCTGCTCTTTTCTAAAAAGAAGGAACAGGAAGTTCAGAGAGAATCATGCAGAGGTGAATTCAAAGGCCAATCTCCCAGCACTAAGCACAGCACCACTTACTCTCAGGGAACCCCCTGGGCCAGACAGCACCACTCCTGGGAACCGGCCTTTGTTCACTTATTCCTCCAGGCAGCATTTATCAAGGGCTTCCTGCACTCTGCTTTGTGCCTGCTTAGTCCTGGAGGGAAGCCTGCAGGAGGCCCACTCAGCTCTCCTGAAGAAGCCAGGCTTAGCTGGGAAAGGGGTCACCCAGGCCCACCAAGGCAGAGACAGCTGCTCCACTGCCTGCTGGCATGTTGCCTCAGTGGCTGGGGAGGGGTCTGTGGTTGGACGGGGGCATCCGTTGGGCAGTGTGCCACTGCACCCAGCAGGTGCTTCAGGGCAAGAGGCATGCGTGCTCGCCACTGGCCTCAGCCTCCGGTGGGTGGGCAGGTGAGGGAGGCAGCCTCCTTTCGTTGCTGTGGCTTCAGGTGTCTGGCTGATGTCAGACCTGAGGAATGCATGGGACTCACTGTGTCTGGGGCCCAACTGGGGGCTGAGGCATTTCTTTAAAAGCTTATAAATCACCAACTACTTCCACTTTCAGCCCCGCCCCACCCCTGGCCTAGAAGGACTCCGTCTCCACACGTACACAAAAACAGCTTCCCCCAGGCCCTCTGTGCTACTCGCATGTGACCATGGCATTGCAGATCCAAATGGTCACCCTCCTGGGGGTCTCCTACCCCCCACACTACAGTGAAAACATGTGTACACATGAGCCTGTCACGGCAGGGAGAGCGCCATGCACACACTCACAGCCCTTCACCCCTTCGCACACACAGCCAGCTGTCTTCATGCTATTCCCTGCTCACTGGTGTCCCCAGGTACAGATAAGCTCCTACTTAGCAGAGCCCTCAGGCTCCTCCAGGTACCCCCAGAAGCATGTGCCTTTCCACTATCACATGCGCTCTCATGTGTACACACTCACAGGTGCACAAAGGATTTACACACAGGCAAAAGCCTGCAGAGCCCACATGCCATTCACACACTCGTGTGTGCACTCTACACCCACACAGACACAGACATGGATACCGGCAGGATGTACACACTCAAATCACACACCCACACCAGACACTCACATGTGTGCATGCATGACATACTATGCCCTAGTGTCCACACACCATTCACACACTCATGCAACTAGGTGGGACCTGCAGGGTGCCTGGGCTGAGAATATGAGCAGGGAGGCAGGGACTGACAGGAAGCTGCAATCCCCAGCCTCACCTCCAGGGGCCGCTGCCCAGCCCGCAGTCCCAACCTGGGCTCTGAAGGGCAGTCCTTGGGCACAGTCCTCCCACCACCTGAGGCAGTAGGTGGCACCATGAGGCCTCCAGCTGGGCCCCTGCCAGTCTTCAGGAAGAGACTCCCTGCAGTGGGTGGAGGACAGACCTCAGTCTGAGTGGGGGCCAGTGAGTTGTCAGGGGCTGAGGGTAATCAATTGGTGCCCAAAGATCTCTGGGTTACAGACAAACCCAGTGAGTGAAAGAGAACCGGAGGGAAGATAAGGAGGTACTGGGGGGGAAACAGAGGGGATGGGAAGGAATGGGGGGAAGGGGAAGAAAGAAATGGGAGGAGATGGAAAAGATAGTGCCAGAGATGGAAGGGAAACTTTAGAGGGAAGAAGGATGGGAGGGAGTGAGAGAGAGGAGGCAGAAGAGCAGGGGAGAGAGGATGCATGGAGGCAGTATAAGCCCCAGTAAGCACCTTTTCCAGTCACAGGAACCCATAGGGGTGGGCAGGGGCGTGAGGGGGTAACCCTTTCCCTCTCTCTCCTGGGCTGTCTGAACCACCCTCCACCCTGTCCCCACTGGTAGCAATCCCCTGAGGGATGCCCTCGACCTCAGCACCCTGGCCAGGCCCAACCTGACACCTACCTGACACCCACATGAGGACAACTTCCAACAGGACCCAGGTGGCAGGTGCCGGAAGCAGGAGGCCACTGGGACCTGAGCATCTCTCTTCCCGCTCGCTCAGCTCCTGGGCCTATTGCTCCTGTCCAGGGCTCTGTGGAACTGGAAGATGAGCTGTGGAAGGCAAAGATGTAGAGACTCTCAGAGCTTGGTGAGTCCAGGGTTCTCACCCCTTTGTGCCTAAGCCATCACCCACCTTCCCTTCCTTCCAGCCCTGGGGCCTGGTCCCATTCTCACAGCACTGGGACAGGATTGGATGGTAAGCCTGGTGAGCTGAAATGTTCTAAGAGCAGGTTACAGAGGAGATGAGGGGGCCTTGGGCCCAGGACCTTGTCCAGCGGCTCTTCACCCTGGATACCCTCCCCAAACCCCGGCCCTCCAGCCCCTCCCAGAGCCATCCCAGAGCTCGGTCATCATGCCCGCAGCCCCCTCGGGCCATTCTGCGGCCAGTGGGGGCCTGCTGGGCCACAGGCTCTGCCTCTCCTGGTTTCCGTGTCCCAGACCTCAGGCCCGGATGGGGCAACAGTGAGTGTCCCTTAATGGATCACTGAGGGCCTATCCTGTCTGGGGGCCTGTGGAGCTGACCAGACTTTGAGGCCTAAAGGGAGGAGTTGGCGGAGCCAAGGCCACAGTCAAGCCCCTGGCCTGCTCTTCCTTCAGCACCGCCCTGTGCCTCGCCTCCCGCTGCAGCCGAGCGCTGACTCAGGCCTGCCCTGTATCCCACCTACACACCCACCTGGGCTCCAAACCGCCTCCCAGCGGAGTCCCAGCCCTCTCACCCGGCAGGACCCCTCCGCCTTCAGCTCCAGAATCACACACCCACTCCTCAGGCATCCCACCCCCTCTCCATCCCCAGAGGCATGCCAGCCCCCTCATCGCCCTCCTCCACGAAACCTGGAGTCAGACACGTCCTTCTTCATCCCCACAGCACTGCAGCCCCTGCATCTGACCGCGTCTCTCCGCTGCTTAAAACCCTTCAATGGTCCTCAAGACCCCTGTGTGCTTTTCTGGCCTCATTTCCGCCCAACACTCCCAAAGCCGCCCACCCAGCGTCTGCTCTCCAGCACACAACTGCTTTCAGGTCCTTCAGGTCCCCACATGGGGTCGAGCACAGCCCTCAGAGCTCCCATCATTCCCTGTGCGCCCCCCTCGAGCTCCCATCATTCCCTGTGCGCCCCCCTCAACCCCTCCAAATGCCTGTCTGAACCCCCTCCATGCCGGCAGGACCAGTCAATCTTTGCCAATTTATTACCCTCAGCACCTGACAACTGCTGAGTTCCTATCAAGTGTTTTATAAATATAATCTAATAATTATTAGATTCTAACTCCTTTTTTAACCCTCCCCAGAGGATATGTTTTATTTTCATTGATTTTTTAGAAAGGGGGAGGGGGGGAGAGAGAGAAACGTCGATTTGAGAGAAACATCCATCAGTTGCCTCCCATACACATCCCAACTGGGAATTGAACCCACAGCCTTTTGGTTATGGGATGATACTCCAACCAACTCAGGCACCTGACCAGAATTAGACTCTAACTCTTTCATTGATAGGGTGTCTGGCTCCCTCTCCACCAGTGCTGGCCAAGGAGACCCTCAGTGGGTGGCTGGAGCTCGGCTCCCCCTCAGCCCTCATTCTCTTGCTCCTTCCCTGCCCCTCTTCATGGGGTTCACAAGCAGCAGCAGGGTCACCGCAGCACCTGAGACCCCAAGACTCTCCCTGAGAGAGTTGGCTTGGCAGCCCAGCTAGAAGAGTGGGGGCACACTTTGTTGACACAGAGCTCCCTGCATGCCTAATCCCCTCGAACAACGTAAGGCCAATGGTCAGTCAGGAAGGCCTGGCCACCCTAACCGGTTTGGCTCAGTGGCTAGAGCTTCGGCCTGCGGACTGAAAGGTCCCAGGTTTGATTCCGGTCAAGGGCATGTACCTTGGTTGCAGGCAAATCACCAGTAGGGGGTGTGCGGGAGGCAGCTGATCGATGTTTCTCTCTCATGGATGTTTCTAACTCTCTATCCCTCTCCCTTCCTCTCTGTAAAAATCAATAAACTATTTTTTTTAAAGAAGAAGAAGACCTGAACCCCCACACACACACACACTCCCACCGCCTACCTGCAGGTCTCTGGAGCTTCTGAAGAGCCACCCAGCTACCCAAAGCATGACATTACCTCTTCTCAACAGCTTTCCCAACTCCTTCACTTCCTGGCACAGCTAGAGCAGGGGAATGAGGCATGTGGGCCCTGCCCTTGGAAAGTGAGGAATGAGCCTGTCACTCAGGGCCCAGACAAACCCAGGGACAGAGGCAGGCAGGTGGATGTTCTTGGATGATAGGAGTGACCCGGTAATAATGGCTACCCCTCATTAAGCACTTACTAAGTACAAGACTCCAAGCTAAGCTATTTATAGACGCTTTCTCAGTTCATCCTTCCCATAAGTCCATGGGGGTAGATATCATCTTTATTTTACAAATTGAAAAAGGAAGCTCAGAGAGCTGTAGCAAGCTGTGCGGCATCACACCGATAACCAGTGATGGAGCTGAAATGCAAGTCCAGATCTGCCGGTTCCAGAACCCATACCCTTCCCACCCCACCTCCTGACCACTCCAAACTCTGGGTGAGGGCTTATTACTTGCATTCCAAAAATGCCTTGAGGGATCCCCATTGCCAATAGCATAACCTCTCCCATCTGAGGCCCCCCACCATCTGGCCCCTGCCTGCCTTGTAGCTGTCACCCCCATCCACACCACCACGCCTCAAATTTCAATCTCACCACTTTCCAAGTCGAGCCCTCTGAGCTCAGCTTCTGCTGTTCACTCAGTCTCAAATGACGGCCCCATTTTACAGATGAGAAACACAGAGGATTAAGAATGCTAAGTAGGTAGCCCAAGGTCATACAGCAATTGAGCCTGGTTAGAACCCAGGTCATTAGAGCATCAAGTAATAAAGCATTAATTTGTGTTACAGACAATTAGGGAATGGGAATTAGCAGAACATGCTGTTAATGGTGCAGAAGAAGGTAGAGGAGAGGAATCAGGTAGGTTCTGCAGTGGAGGAGGGCCAGGCTAGGCCTTGAGGAATAGCAAGGCCTGGATTGGTGAACTTGAGAAGGGGAAGCATGAGAAAAGCACAGAAACAAGAGGAAAAAGTGAGGGAGAGAGAGGCTTGTCAGTATGTTACGATGGACAGGGCTGTGTAACAGGGGTCAAAAGACTCACAGTGTCCCCATAATATTGAGTGATCTTGGGCAAGCCCTCTCCTCTCAGTGGGGCGCCTTGTCTGTAAATGAAAGGTCTGAGCCTTGATGGTCTCGGGAGTTCCCTACAGCACTGACATCCCAGGATTTCGTATGTGTTGCCATCCCATCTTGAAACACGGGATCTGACCCCAGACCCACTGACATGGGCAGTGGCTTGCACGCCCAGATCGGACAGGAGCCAGCAGTCAGCGTGGCACCTGACAGGTCACACCCAAGGGCTGGCCCCGGTTACATGCCAGGAGTCACCACGCATCCCTCGTCTCCACGCATTCTTGCTATAAGCATGCGGCGACTTGCTGCAGTGGGTCCAGTCCTGCAGAAGCCGGGACACAGGGGTGAGTGAGTCAAGGGGGGAGTGTGGGCTCACAGACCAGGAATGGCATATGCCCACCACGAGCTAAAATCCTAGACCCAGTTCATCCTCAGAAACGGGGAAGGGAATGGGGGTCCTTGGATAAATGGCAGAGGAAATGTCCTGTGAGTGAAAGTGGGGATATCAGGACTAGATCAGTGGTCTGTCTGCCAAATTAGAGGACATTTGGGGAATAAGAAGGGTCCTCCAATCAAGACAGCATTGCACCCGCATAGAGAGTACCTTCCAGACCATCAGTAAGGGAGCCCGTGGGTGCCTATGGTACAACAACACAGGTACAGCCGAAGGGCTCAGGGCTAGCTGGGGGCAGAAAGTGCACCCCGAGAGCCTGGACACACGTATGTGTGCACCTGCACACACACACACACACACACACACACACACACCTGCACGAAGACCCCCAAATCAGGTGGTCCACCTCCCCACCTCCAGACTGAGCCCTTCAACCACTCTCCCTCTCGAGGAACATGCCCTTCCTGTGACCACGACACACAGCGGGAAGTCGCAGGTCTTGCTGCCTCGCCTTGCTGCTCGTGTTGCCGTTCTGATGTGCTTGCTTCCTTCCTGACTCAGGATGTGTCAAGCCCACCCACCCTGCGTGACGGACTCCCACCCCCGGAACAGGAACTCACCTCTTATCGTTTCTTCCTGTTTAACCTCCAACTCTTGCCCTCAAGCACCCGATCTTGTTCACCCCTGAACCCTAAATGAAGGTGTGAGGAAGCACCCCAGGGGCCCAACCTCCCTGGACTCGAAGATTGATGCCAAGCTGGAGGCTCAGTTGCAGGTACCAGCTTCCCTGCTTACTGGCTGCCAAGCCTTCGCCTGAGTTCCATGCTCTGCAAGGTCATGGTGAAGATCACAAGGAAGCTGCCTACAGAGCCCTTCGCACAGAACGGGACACAGAGGAAGCCCTCCTTGAGGGGAGCTGCAGTTATCACTAACATGTGTCCTTAATTTCAGCTCCCCTCCCCTTACCCCACCATCCCATCTCTTGAGTAGGAAATCCTTCTTGACGTCTAATCTCAGCCTTCCTTCCATGACACTCGGCGGTGTCCCACCTTTGTTGAACTCTGGGGACTGAGGTGGCTGAGACCACACTGGCTGGTTGGAGAAGCTGCCTCGCTGGAAGCGGCCAGGAGGGAGATTACAGAGGCGCCAGGCCCAGGCCCTGCCATGCACCTGCCGCGGCTCCAGCGGAGATGGGGGGCCGGCCAACTTACCCCGCCCCATGATCTCATGGCTGCGTTTGCCAGGTGCTGGCTCAGGGAGCAGGTGCTGACAGCGAGGCCTGGGCACAGAGCCCAAGAACGAGATGTGAGGGCCAACAACACAGTTGTCCCCACAGGGCTCTGACCTCCACGTATGGTCTCTGGCTAGGATCTAGGTTCCTGCACCCAGGCCCCTTCATACTACCCCAATAGCCCCCTCCCCCCCACCCCCCGCTGTGTACCGCTCCCCAAAGGACAATGAATGAGGGGAGGAGGGGCTCCCTCTTCTTCTCCAAGGATCAGTCTCTGCCTTCCCATCCCTTCCAGTGTCTCTCTCCTCCAAACTGCTGGCCCTGAAGGATGCTGTTGTGGCGAGTTTGCCAGGCGGGAGATGAATGACCAAATGCTGTCATTCCTGAGGCTGCTGCAGACACGCATCTAAGTGTCAGTTATAAAATGACTCTGAGTCTCAAAGAGACACCTCTGTCCCAGTTTCAGGGCGTCCCTAGAGGTGAGGACAGACCAGGAGTCAACCCCAGCCCCGAAGTTCTCCTGTGTGCTGGTCCTTAACCCCTCCCCACCTCACTCTCTCCCCATCACATAAACTCCGTCCTCCCCTTCCGACTCCCAGCCCCCAAGTCCCTGCCTGAAGGAAGCAGGGCGCTCTGAGCACCCAAGGTTTCTCTCCGCTGCTCAACCCCGGGCCCAGCCCTGTAGCAGCCAAGCACAGGACAGGCCGACTGTGGGCCCCCCATCCACCCTATCGGCACCCTGATCCCCTTCCAGGGAGGCACTCAGCCTTACTAGCATCCCCCCCCATTTCTCCCAATCTCCAACTGACCCCAGCCACCCACCCCCACTCCTCCCTGATCTCTTTCCCCAGACAACCCACAGAGAAGACACCTGGATGGACCACGTGCCAAACTGGGCCAAACTCTCTGGAGAGGAAGACCTGTCCCAAGGCTGCACCACATTTCCACGTCATCACCAAGGGCACCAAGGGTTAGGCAGATGTGCGGCAGGACAGCCCCGCCCAGAAGCAGGGCAACATTCCCAGGTGGCAGGTCACTGAGCCAGGGACCAGGAATGCTTCCGCCGGGATGTAGGTGCCTGCTGCTCCCCTCCTGCCCCCACCCCACTGAAACCTGTCCCTCCCCATCCTGCTCCACACCCCCTGCTCCGGGAAGCCTTCCCCAGCCAACCCCACCCAGTTCTTCCCACCGCTTACCCCGCGTCCCCTCGGCGCTTGGGTCCAGCGTTTCCCCGTATTCCTGTGCCCTTGTTTATACGTTGTTTCGCACACGTTCTCATAAAGCCGCATCTCCCATGGTCATCGCAGGTCGTGAGTCCCCAGTGTTAATGAGACCCACTTTGCTAGAGGATTAGTCCCTGCCCTTAAGGAGTGCCAAGAAGGCTCTGGAATCTAAGTCACATCTCTCTTCCTGCATTTTTTTTTCCTCTTGATAATCAAGCAACTGAAGAAACTCCCCACAGTAAGCAAGCGTCTCATGTTCTAGTTCCCGCCTGGCTGCCAGGGAGGCCCCAGATAAGGACATATCAGGGCAGGAGTCTCTGGGGAGTGCCTGGACGAGGCAAGCTTCTCTTCGAGGGAAGCTTCTCCCTTTGGAGCACTGCAAACCCTTCTGAGACCAGGTGCCCTCTTCCCAGCCTCTGCAACCAGGGGCAAGGCCGTGTCCCCACCAGCACGCTCGGCCTTTCCCTCAGACGCTGCAGCCAGATGCGGGGAGAGATGGGCCTGGGGTTGAACCTCAGCTCTCACACTTCCTAACTGTGTGTGCACAGCTAAGTGCTCTGGACCTTGATCCCCTATCTGTGAAATGGGCACAATAAGAAAACCACTTGAAGAGAGTGGGAAGGGCTGGAGTTGGTGTCTGTAAATCAGCCTGAAGCAGGCACTGCTGCATCCCCATTCTGCAGAATGGGACACGGCAAGTCACTTCAAGGTCACACAGCTAGTTCCAAGGGCGCATTCCTTAACCCAGAAAGCCTTCCGTGAGTCCCTGCTGAACCAGGTGGATACCAGGCTTATCTGCTTATCTAGATAAGCTTCTGGGAGGAGGAGGCAGGCCTGTGAGTGGGAAACAACAGTAGGACGGAGTAGGTTCAAAGCTACCAGAGGCTGAACAAATTGCTTCGGACTCATAGGAAGGGGCCAGCAGCCCCTCCCCAGCTCCTCCCTTCCTAGTTATTATTATTTCAATAATAAAAGACATGTTTGTGGTGTCCACGAAAGAGGCTTCAGTGGTGGGACTCCACACAAGGTGGCTTGTCCTGGACTCTGTGAACTCCTGGGCTGCCCAGACGCCCTCAGCTCCAGACCAGAGCAGCCCAGGCGCAGCTGCCCAGCTGCAGGGAGACGGAAGCAGGGCCCAGACCCGGGCTCCCGCCCAGGAAGGCCACCAGCCAGCTGAAATTCCCAGCCCACCCGGAGGGCTGTGGGGGAGGGTGGGATTTATGGGTCTCCTCACCCGCAGTGGGAAATGTGTTGAGCTCAACAACATCTCTCTGGCCACAGGCCCCAGTGCTCCTGTGGCTCTAAATGATGGGGCAGAAGCCGGGTCATTAGGCAAGAGAGACTGTCATTAGTGCAGGTGATGCCACCGCTGACAGACAATGGCAAACAGTCATTAGCGGCTGTGTCACAGGGTGAGGCAATGCTGGCGGGCGCAGGGATCCGGCTCACCCCCCTGAGGCTGGCGGAGCACACGCTCGCACTCACATGCTTACATACTCAGATGAGAAAGCACATGCTCTCCCACACTCACCTGTCTTCACACTCACACACAGAAGTGGAAGTAGACATACATTCACACACTCACTCACACACACAGAGGCTGAACAGACACACTGCCCAAAGACACCCCATACAGCAGGGGAGCAGGGCCCCTGGGTCCTTCCACAACCAGGTACCCAGACACTCAGACATCCCCCCTGCCCTGAAAGAGACACGCAGACCCTCAAGGGTCTCGGAACAAAAAGACTCTCAGACGCCCCCTCCCATCCCACTCACTCCCTTTTCCAAGGTCCAGCACCAGGAGAAAGATACCACGCTAAGTGCAGGAGCAGGAAGGCTGTGCCTGCCCTGAAAGAGGGACAACGTTGGTTTTAACACTTTAGCCCCCTCCGCACCCCCAGCCCTAATGGCTGGCACATGCTCTGCCTCCCTTGACACCTCACCCCCCAAGAAACGGGCTGCTGGAGGCATGTTTCTAAGGACTCTTGAGCCCCAGAAAGGAGGCTGAGGTCAGAGGAGGAGAGTACCTGAAATCTAGCCTTTGCTCCAGTTTTGAATCTTCCCTCCCACCCTCGACTTCCAGTTCAGAAAATGTGGGCAGGGCACAGGAAGAGAGGCAGCCTGGAGTGGTGAGCAGAGCATAGTCGTCAGGCGGGTAAGGACGAAGGGAACGGAATAAAGGCTGAGTCCTCAGCTCCAGTCCTACTTCTGCCACGAGCTGGGTGTATTAGTTCCCTATTGCTGCTATAACAAGTCACCATGAACTTAGTGGTTTAGAATAAGAGTTGCATTATCTTACAGTTTGGAGGTCAGAAGTCCAAAGGCATCTCAATGAGCTAAAATCAAGGTGCCCGCAGGGGTGTGCTCCTTCTGCAGGTACTAGCAGAAGATCATTTCCCCACCTTTTCCAGCTTCTAGAAGCCACCCCCCTTCCCAGGCCCCCTTCCACATTCAAGGCCAGTGATGGCCGGTGGAGACTTCGCACGTCGCATCACTCTTCTGCCTCCCTCTCCCAGATGTGAAGGACCCTTGTGATCACACTGGGCCCACCCAGATAATTCAGGATAATCTCTCCATCGCAAGATCTTTAACTCCATCACATCAGCAAAGTCCCTTTTGCCGTGTCAGGTAACAGTCACAGGTTCTGAGGATTAGGACATGGACATTTGGGGGGGTACATTGTTCTGCTTACCACACTAGGTGAACTTGGACAAGTCATTTAACCTCCCAGAGACTCAGCATCCTCAACTGTAACCTAAAAATAACGCCCACCACATGAGTGGTCACATGGATTTAGGAAGCCCCCTGAACACGGAGCACCATGCCTCACACTTGGAGGTAGAGTGGGTGTCCTGGATCAAGGGTACTGCCTTCCCCTTGAGGAAGGTGGGTGAGGGGCGGCAGAGGTGGTCTCTATGGGCTTGGGCAGGGCTGGCAGTTGAGGTCAGTAAGGACCGGGAGAGGGTGTGGGTGTCTGTAAGAATCCCTGGATCTGGGCAGCAGCGAGGCCCTGGCCTGCGGAGTGCCATCCGCTTGGCTGTGGGCACACACACCCGCGGTGACCTGAGATAAGGAAGCAGGTGGGGCCAGGGCATGCTGCTCCTGCTTCTCCCTGACTTCCTCTCCCTCATCTGCTGCCATCTGTTTGCAGGCCCCGGGGCCAGAGGGTGGGCAGAAGCCCCAGACCAGGCTGCTATTACCCTGCTAAGTGCAGACTGCGGAACGATGACCCGGGGAGATAAACCGCACATAGAGGAATCGCCCTCTGGAAAACACTCATTAGCCCCCAATCTCGCCCGGCACTGTTTGCCCACTTGGGAGGCAACAGTGGCACCTCCGAGAGGAGCTGAGGTAGTCAGATTCCCACTGGCCGGTCTGCTCCATGCAGTGCCCAGGCCAGCGGCCCAGCCCTGAGCCCTGCTCCCCTGCTTCTCGCCCACCCGCTGTGGCTTCCTGTCCCTGGCCCATCCCCACTCCAACTCTTCTCTCATCTCCCAGCCCCGAGCTCCTCCCAGCTTCTCCCAAAACCTTGACTGTGGGCTGAGACTCTAATCCACATGAGGAAGCCTGGACTGGGGGCTGTGTTTGGAGGTAGAAGATCAGATGCAAATCCCACATGTCTTGAAAAATGGAGGTGCAGGGTGCCCGGCCCATTGAGCAGCGTTGGGGAGATGAAATCAGATCCCTGTTTGAGCACTTTTTGTGAGCCTGGGTACTAATTTGGGTAATGGGGACACATGCAAGGACTTCCTTCTCCTTTTGTCCCTGACACAGCGAGCAGGCCTGGCCCGGGATCCGCCTTCCGTGGCCTCCTCGGAGACTGCCCACATCTCGCTGCATCAGGAGACCCCCAACAGGTGCTGGAGGAGGGAGCTAGAGGGATGGGGAGA